AAATATTATTTCGAATAGGTATTATATCCTGCCCTTTTTTATTAGAATAATATATTTAAGCATATTTTATAAATTTGACCCAAAAATTCTATCTACTTCAATCTACTTGTCAATTTAAATTTTCATTAGCATGTATTACACATATTGTACCAAAGAAAAGTTACTGTAATGTTTAAAATATTATAATGTCTATAATTAATTTATTGTTAAATAATATTGTGTACAGTGTGAACCCATTATAGTCAATACTTAAACTTGTAACAACGAAAATGAATAAAAATGCGAATATTGTAATAATACTTTAATATAAACCGTCTTCTTACCCGAATGTAGCCGTATTCCTATACACATATCGTAGTCGTGTTTTCAACAAACGTTGAAAAGTTTTCTTAACTTTTGTCCTCGTACCGGTTTAGACTCATATTAAATATCCGGCCCTGATTTTCGACGAGAGGTGACTTTTCGACGAACACTTCCGACAGATTGCTCAAAAACTGCGTCCGTCCTTAGGCGCGAGTTTGCCTTTAAACATACCCAGGTATAGTAGTATCGTTGAATGTAACAGCTCGGAGCTTCCTATTGTTTACTACCTTTGGTTTGGTGACTACCTAATAATGGCCTCACATTGACAAGAATTCATGAAAAGCCAAATCTTAATGTTCATGGTTTCATGTACTATATATTACTATGTCTATATTAACCACGTTTATGTCGTATGATATGTTCTTTACCATAACTTGAGAATACATGTGCAGGTAGTAAGATTTTTTCTTATATTACCTATATAAAAGTAAATTGCTGGTCGTTAGTCTTACTAGAACTCGGGAATGGCTGCACTGATTTGACTAATTTTATTCTTTAAATAAGTCCAGGGAAAGTTTAAACGGTAACAAAATATGGCAAAATTCGAGGAAAATAGTAAATACAACTATTTAATTTTCAAACACAAAATGTTCCTCGTGTCGAGCATTTGAAGCTTAGTTTAAATTAGATCCATCGATCCATCCAAACTTACGCATTGATATTCAGATTAAACACGGTAGGCAGTGGCTTGGCTGTGGCCCTGACATTGCCGAAGATGGACTTCAGACCGGAGGTTACCACACACTATTGTGTCTATGCGCACCCCGCCGAGAATCCCCGCCGGGACTCGGTTTCTAACCAGTACGACTGCACATACAGTTTTATCCATTGTTTGAGACATTAAATTACGTGTAGATTTATTTTACCGTAGCGATAGCTAGAAAACGGTGCACACCTGTACTTTTATTATCATTCCTAAATGTAACATTGTCCACAGTAACAACTCATCTTTGAAAGACCAGTAACCCTAACCTCATTACTTACATAATACTTACTAGTAGGCCACCCTGAATTTATACAATTTAAAATCCTTTTATTAATATAATAAAGTTAATTTATAATTTGACATAGGCACATTATTGACCACCATTTGTACCTGATTAGGACATTTGTGTTCACTTCTTCACTGTGCAGATCGGTTAGTGGCTCACGATAAATTCGGATTTCTAGCAATTAAATAAGATTATTAAATAAGGATTTCGAATCGACTACAGATATACACAGTTTTCGAATTATCTTGTACTTAGACTTAAAAAAAAAGCGGTCAGGGATGAGTCGATCTCGTGCGCCCAGGATTCCTTGCCTACCCAGATTTTACGTAGATTTTCGCGAAAATTTATAAGTACCAAAATTTATCTTAATTTTCAACTTTTTTATTTTTTGGAATTATGCCTTTATTTGTGCTGTAAGACGTTTCTTTCAAAATTGAAATTTGCCCAAAATCTTTTTATCGTGTTGACTCAGGATCTTGATTTTTATACACCTAATATATAGGGACCATAGTCCTCAGTATTTGGTATAAATTTCAACCAAATACGTAAGGTACGTAAGGTCTACCCGTTCTTGAGAAGGTACGGAACCCTAAAAATACAAGTAAATAGTGTCATTATAACAAAGGATCGATCCTACAAACCATATGAACATATAGTATAAGAGAGAGAATCCAATTTCACAAATCTCAAAAGCATAAAACCTAAACCTAACAACCTCAAACTTGACAAGGGAAACCCAATAACCTGAACAACTTCAAACTTACACTCCCCTTTCATTTCTGTGCGGAAATCCTATCGGATACCACCCAACGGTGGCTATTTCGGACTCAACCCGATCAAAAACTTCACGGCGTCTCGGGTACCAGAAGCCAAGGAACCAGGTGTACCCTAGAAAGGAAAGCCCTGGTACCGTGATGACGACCTCCTGTGTGGGAACCCCAATGTTCCCTTTGTGTTCTGGAAAGGAGTGCTCGCCACCACCCTAGCCTGCTTCTGCTAGGGTGACAGATGGCCTCACCTGTCACCCCCATGCCTGCTTATGGAGAACGTAGGTTCTAAGACCTCGCTCCGCCACTTCCTTCGCAAGCATAACTAGCTCGCAGAAGGAGATGGCAGAATTCCACGCACTATGGCCACAATTGTGTTATTGCGCGAGAGAACTCCCACTCCGATGGCCGCCAGGAGGTCGAGCCTCTGCTCTACCCACGCCGGGCATTCTGCTAGCGTGTGCAGCGCATTGTCCACGGTCTGGCCATCGCAGTTGTGTCACTCAGGCGTTGGCTCCTTGCGGATCAGACACAGGTGATCCTCAAAGCATCCTTTCCCAGTGATAACCTGCGCCAGCCGGTATGAGAGGGTCCCGTGATGCCTCTCGAGCCAATTCTCCATAACGGGTCTCACCGCCGCAATAACGGCGTGCCCGGTGCGGCGCTCGTTTCTGGTCATCGATTTCTCGAGTCTAGTGCAGGCGCTAACGGTCAGTGAGTATGCAAAATGTGAGGACCTAATTCCAAACATGGATTTGAGTTAAGGAAAGGTCTAAGATAAATGTAAATTATTAAAAAATAAATGAGTAAATCTAATAATGTGGATCTTTCCGGGCAATTTTTTGGTTCTTAGTCGAGTGGTTTTTACTGGCCTGACATTTGGCGTGGTGAACCATATACACTTAGTATTTTGTTTATTCAAAAGCAAATTTTTAACGTTAAACCAATTAACCGCTTTCGAAATGGCGATGTTTCGGTGAAACTGAAACTGTGCGTTTTAGTCTAAATAATGGTGATGTATCATGTGCAAATAGCACAATCTCGTAATTGTCCTTGGCAAAATGAGGTAAGTCGTTAATGTATACCAAAAACAAAAATGGGCCTAGAATAGAACCTTGTGAAACACACATTTCTTACTTCATATTTAAGTAATAGGCTTGAAATATTTGATATTAATAGTGAGCGTTTATTTTTGATACCATAGTGCTGTAATATCCTGATAAGCGTTTCATGAAAAACATTTAGAAAAATCGCAAAAGATACTTTCAACACTGTCATCAGTTGTGGTGCGACCACTTGTAAAACTAAATTGTCTATTGTGTAATACAATTTTATTATTTAAAAAAAAACATTTGATCAAACAATTTTCATTCGAAAATTTTGCTGAATACTGGTAGTACCGAATTAGGTCAAAAGTTAGTTGGGTCAGGTGTTCTACCAGATTTGAATAAAGGTATACCTTTACTAGATTTCATAAGATCAGGAAATACACCACTATCAAGACATTGATTAAATCGAAATGACAATTGAATAAAGTCTTTTAGCACAATTTGTGACATTGTCTTCATTTAGAAAGCGTAATGAGCCTTTTAAATCATATTTTAAATTGGAAGGATCTTTACGTGTATGTCACAATGATGGCAGATTTTTGTTGGTTCCTCAAAAAAGACGATATAACGTCACACAAAATCAAAAGCAGTCTCTTCAAAAATTCTTTAATAGTGGACAATTTAAGATTAATGTCATTATCTCAAAATTTATTATGCTTTTAATTTATATAAATTGTTAAAAACGTTTTTTTTTAAATATCATTTATATTTTTAATTCACTTTCAGTTTCTAGTTGTATGAGGCAATTGTAATCGGAAACAAGTAAAATTTTGTCAGTTGTATAAAAAGTTTGAATTTTTTACAATTATTTGCGGACTTCGAAGTATACCAGAAGGTATCTAATGATATTATAATATTACCTGTCATATTGAGGGTCGGTGGATAATTTATTATTTTGATTTCTCTTTGTTAGTATTCTTTGAAGTCGATTCAACTTTAAAAAAGGGATTTATTTTTAATTTAGCCCTATTATTATTTTTTTGTAAAAAGAGTATTAGTTAAATCGATGTAGGTGATGCGAAATTCATCGGGTCATCTAGTTTATAAACCACTTTATCGTATAGTAGGTAACTACAAAAAGTAATTTAATACTAGATGAGATAAGTACAAGTCTCGGCCCTATCGCTCAGTGGCAACCTCTTACAGGCAACCGGGGATGGAAAGAAAACATAATTTTTTGTTACCATTAAATTAACATAATTTTTATGTCCGTACCAACATAACCTATTATTTCTTAACTTTTAATCCTACTTTCAGAAGCCTACTTTCAGACTCCCTAGTATATAGTCATTCCTGACCTTGTACATCCGAGTCACATTACACATCCATCTCAACTTTTGCATTTAGGATACGTTCTCCATTCATTCTCCGTCCGTTCTCCGTTCTCCGTCCATTCTCTTAATTCTTCAACCTAAAACCTACATGGGTTTTAGGTTAAAGGTACCCAGAAATTAGTTAGGACACATGTCAAAAACTAAAAAATGCAATGCAATTTGAAGATTACAGTGACGACTGGAATAACTTACATTTACATACGCGTTTTGTTTATAAACTAAAGAATAAAAAATAAATAAACAAGGAAGAAACGCAAATACTTAATTATTTAAAAATAAACACTTCCATGAAGATGTGAATCACTTACGTAATGTTATTATTATAATTCAATACAATAAATCTTACATCATTGGATATTTGCACACTTGAATTCACTACAGATAGTTTACTGGTAACAGTGAGAAACATAAAGTGTTGTGAATAAGTTTTCTGACATGTCAGCTGCGGCGTAAGTTTACTTTCACTGCCTTATTATTATTTTTTATACCGTCGTAGACGTGATATGTGCATTAAAGTGGCTTAAATACTTTATTAATTGATAAGAACCGCAAAAAGAATAAAACCTTGAAACAAAAAGAACTGCAAAAAGAAGGAAAACTTGAAATAAACGCTAAATCAACCCGTCTGGCCAACGTGGTATCGTTGGCCAGACGGGTTGATTTAGCGTTTATTTTAAGTTTTCCTTCTTTTTGCAGTTCTTTTACAGGCCAAAACCTCCTTTTTCAAGGATCGGCCTATGCCAGCAGTGAACTATTAAGGAGCTGTTGATGATGAGGAATATTATTATGCTCTACAGTAAAAAAAACTCTTTGTACACATATCAACCACGTACCAAATTATGGCAGTTATAAAATACTTTTAAATGTATTGTATACCTGCCAGTGAGAGTTTAGCTTTTTATGTTGTTGGGAATAAGCTCGGTTTTACACCCTCACACTTGCATTGTAATATTCCACAATCATTACCTTTAATAGTTTCGGGTATTCAAAAGTTAAGTGTGTAGATGATACTTTAAAGGTCAAGGCTTGTATGGAGAAGGTTTATCTTCAATGAGTTTTCACACTTAACATTTTTTTTGGTATTTTATTTTTGTTGGCTTTTAATACTATTTCAAAAACAGTTTCTTTGTAAGTAATGTGGATGGTTTTTTTCTAATACAAAATAGCGTTTTTAATTTCATTCTTTTACTTGTGTGGGTTAGTATTATAGATACGGTAGCATTGACATACTAAATACTGACTCTGTATTGCGTAATGATTGGCATGTATATCGTGGCTGGATTTTAGGCTCGACTTTACTCGACTTTAGATCGACTAAATGCGACCGACTACTTCATGATGTGGTTGTATTTCATGATATGACCAGCTTAAGCCAACCTTATCATTTGAACGCCAACATTTGATGATATGTGATAACCTAAATTTGGTCATATCAATAAATTTAAGGCCTTCATGATATAAAACGCTTAATAAAAAATCTATAAAACAGGGTCTAATATAGTGTTTTTACTATAGGAAGTGTCGGAGCCATTAGTGTAATAGATACATTACTTTACATTATATACATTAGTAAAAAGTTTCTGCTGCTGCTACCCCCGTGACATTGTCCCCTTTATAGCTGAAATTGGGTTCAAAGCTTCCTTTAGCACATAGGCTAGATATCAGCTTACTTTTTAAACCACACTACACGCCCAATATAAACTTTAAATGTTGTTTTAAAGAGCTGCTGAGACCTGAAAAAGCTTTAAAATTGTTTTAATGGTTTTTACGATAATTTGAGTTTATATTTGGTGTCTTCAATACTATCGGGTGTGTAAACCACAAAATGTAGCATTTACATTTAGATTTAGTAAGATTAACTTTTGGCATACAGTAATGAAAGATATTAAACTGTATTGTAGAATATAATTGACGGAACTAAAAAAATCTCCAGACTGCAGGGTCCCAGGAAGTCTCTGACAGCAATGAATAGACTAGATTAAAATGGCATTTACAATAATTCAAGTCCTTTGTTGGGTTTGTGTTATGGCCAGTATTAGATTCAATGTTATTAGAACAGTGAGCTGATTCGGTCCTTACCTCCAAGTCCAGTGCGGAGTGGTAGATATCTGGGGGCTAAATCCCTCCCGGACCAATATCACATCCGACATTCATCCATTAAAATTTAATATTATATTTTAATCCGTAAGTAAGCAATGTGAAAGAAAATAAAAATAATAGTTATTAATATTGGTTGGAGTACTGGTTTTCTGTGTCACACACACATGTGTACACACACGCACCTACACGTAAAGAGTTTTGATGAATATTCATAGTAAACAATTATAGTGCTTAATTTATACTTTATATTTATTTGAAATTTGAAAATGGAACGCATCTGTGTCATATAATTAAAAGGCAAATTCATTTGAAAGCCTATTAACAGCAATAAAAAAAAAGAAATTAGAAGTATTACACTGTCATTTCCCGCTTTTTCTTCTGCTATAATGGAGCGTTTTTAGGTGGTTTAACGAATTTTAAAACGGGAAAACTTGCCTTAGAGATGATGACGGAAGTGGACGCCAGCCAACAGCAGTAACTGCTGAAAATGTGTGGACTACTGAAATGCTTTTGTATTATATTAGAAGATTTCTATTAATTGCTCTTATAATGTTACATGTTAAAGTTTGTTCCATTTAGATTTGTAATTAATTTTTGTGCTCTTATTCACATATCTCTGTAACTCAATACAAACACCAAGAGAATTATTCATATCGCAATACAGAATTAGAAGTTACTCCGTAGTCCGTGTGTCCTCGGCAGATAGCGCTGTAGTATGTTTTTTGTTTCACCGTATGTGGAAGTCGCCACAATACAATACATGATGAGTCATATTAGTTTAATACGAAGTTTACAGATTTTAAAATATCTGTATATGCCAATAGTCGAAGTAACTTTAGCACCTATATTTGCAGTCTTAAGAAGTCTTACTTTGGTTGTTGATAACAGGTTTATGTGAGTTTTATATATCCCTACTCATATTATAAATGCAAAAGTAACTCTGTCTGGTAAGCTTTCACAAGTAAACCATTGAACCAATTTTGATGAAATTTTGTACAAAGATAGACTAGAGTTCAGGAAAGCCGAGCCAAACATCACGCTCTCAAGGGGTGCTGAAATATTAGAGCAAACTCGGGCACGTTGGCTTTTAGATGCTTAGCGTCATGCGTTACTGATTACTGCAGCGTCGAATGAGGAATCACAAAGACGATGTGTTTTAAAAGCTGATTGATAGCCACAAGCGATAAATGCGTTTACACCGCATTCCAAGCCTGCTCGATTCCAACACACCGCCCTACCGCAAACCCCGATGGTTCCGACCCGAGGCGGTTTCCACACGTAAATAAAAATTTCAAGGTAGTGGTGAACAGCATTGGAACGCAACATATGGGGCTTGCCCTAATGTTACAGAAGTCCACAGTAAGCGTGGTAAGGGGTGCTCTGATATGCTATTCTTGCCTTGGAGTATAAGGGGCAAACTGGACGACCGCACTCAGATGCAGGGTGTTCTGAATGTAGATGCCCAGAGGGGTGTTCTCCAATGCAGCTAGTACTCCCCTGGGATATTGTATAGCGTCTTGCCTACTATTACAAAAAAAATAAAAGGTTATAGTTCATAAAATTATGGCGTTTCATTTGCCTATCCCTTTCAGAAAAGTAGGCGTGAGTACATTACATATCTATGTAATTCTAGAATTTTTTTATTTACGAAAACACTTATAAAAAACGAATAATTAATGATTTAATTAATTTTGTTTATCTTGAGGTTCTTCTTGTTCACAGACATAGTTTAAAAACTTTTGGAATTAAATTGAATAAAATATTTATATTACATTTACATGTGGTATTAGAATCTAATTATTTTTCTTACAGTATTCTACTCATAGGGGCCGTTGCTTTTACTGCGTTCTGGTCTGCAAAGTACATTGCTAAATTATATTCTTACGCCAAGCAGAAAGAAGGCAAATATTTTGTGACACATGCTCCACCTTTACGTATGATTAACCCTACGTATTTTCCAATGGCATGGGAAAGGCTACGCATAACAACAACGAAACCGAATTTGCTTGAATACTTAGAATGAGTTTTTTTACGGTTTGTAGTAATTACTTATGCGCTATATATTCAGGTGTATTAATTTAATTGTGTGAGTGTATAATATATTTTTCTGAGTTGATGTTAAAAGAATGAAGAGTTAAGTTTTCTGCTTATAACTTAGCGACATTGACAAAAGCGATTTGAAGGGAATGTTTTACACAAGAGTCATAGACTGCACAATTCTTCATTCTAAAAGATCAACTCTGTTCAATATTTTGTTTAAATTAATAAAATCGTAGAAGTATCTTTATCCTAGAAACTTAATACAAACGAACAATGCAGTTTCTCATTTTAGTGTAGTATTAGAAGTTGTAGTATTAGTGGTAGTGTAGTGTAGTAGCGTATTAATCAGTTTTGCATTTCTTAATATTCTAAATTACTAATGGAATCATATTTACTCTTATTATTTCTAATTGAATGTCTAATATATATGATATATTGTGTAATATTTGTTTCAGAGTTTGGGTGTTTTCTATGTATATGTATATGTATGTATGTATAGATTTACAAAAAAGTATATAAGTATTCTATCAGTCAATCTAGCTGTCATAGTAAAGTTCTGCTTAGTTTGGAACTAGATGGCGTTGTGTGACAGATGTCTGAATTTTTTTTTCTTTTTTTATTTTGTTACAGGTTTATGTTAATAAGCGCAATGAGTTTCGGCTTCTGGTGGTGGTACAATGACTTTAGAGCAAAACTCCATGACTTTATGAAAAAACATGAACCGTTACAATTATCAGATGAAAATTTTCCATTTGGGAGGCAGGAATCTTTTGAACATTTGGCGATATGGACAAATGATACAAACGGATTTTAAATAGAAAGAAACTCAATCAAATTTTACTTGACTAATTTCAAGATAATTTAGTTTAGCTAAGTGAAACGAAGTAGAAATAGGGTTTAAGAAAAATAGTTTTAGATAAATATTCATTTATAAGCTAAATTAGAATTAGCATAATGTCAGATAGTGCTGATAATATAGTGAGCCTAATTTAAAAATGTTAAACTTGATACTTAACTCTTTTTAATATTATATATATATATATATATATATATATATATATATATATATATATATATATATAAATAAATATATAATTTATATATAAATATATAAATTATATTGATCTACTCTTTCTCATTCTCATTCTTCAATCTTAATTAAAAATATTAAATATTTGCCGACTTTACTTTGCTAACTAAGTGAGTCTAACAATTCTATTATAATTATATGACTTTTACTTTAATGACGCAAATTTTTATACTTGAAAAAGGTTCTAGTAAAGTATGTATAAAGTTATGATCAAAACTATGATTTTAAAAAGTATTAGTACTAGTTGATTACTTTTGAACTTTGCAATGTTGTAGCATCCTGAGAGTTTAAAAGTATACTAGATGTGCAAATCAGGATTTGTCATTACGAATAGTGCATTTCGTCCAAACCTTGGGTACAAATATCAACGTTAAATCCAGATTCACACATCTATTATGTATGCAATGTTTTTTACACACAATACTGTATTGAGTGATTCCAATAAATGATTTGACTTAAATAACTTCATTTGCTAATTCTCTTGAATAATGAAAATCTGTATTAAACACATGTCTATATTTTTAATAATTCAGACTACTGGCTACCCTACCCAAAGTCAACAGAGGCACTTCTCAACACGCTGGTTAAAAAGGTACTGTAGTGGGTATTGTTGTATTGTCCGAAACCCACCAATAACCAACAGAACTGTGACTTTCTTTACAACACAGAGAAAGTTTTCATTATTGAAACCTACATAGTGTTCCATCGACATTGGCTCTACTTGTTTTATTCATATTTTTGTAGTGGATGATAGGTAAGACAGTAATGAATTATAATTTATTGTACTGATGGAATTTACAATTGCATTACGCACCGCTTTTGGTATGCTTTGACATTCTATTGTTCTCTTTCACAATATTGTTTCTACACAACACACATACATTCATCACAACATTCTATTTAATTTTGAGAGTCATTTATATCTTAGTCTAGTAGAATGTGGTCGCGCGTTCTCATAGATATATATTTGAATCGAGACTTTTTAATAATTAATATCATTACACTCCCTTGAACCTCGGACCAATCCTCAGAAATACTAAATGAGATTAGTTGTACATTTTAATTTCATTTTTTCATCTTATCATATTTGTTTTATCAGAAGTGATAAGGAGATTTTCTTTTCCAGTGTTTGTAATCTTTCGTGTTGAAAATAAACAAATTGATTGAGAACCAGTAAAGAACTGACGTAATTATCATAAGGGAAGAAAAACATCTGTTTTGATGTTTACGATCATGAAAATTGATTGTAGTTATTCCATCGCCGTCGTCTATGAGGTCAGTCTGCACCAGAACGCTGTGCAAGAGTTTTAAAGGATGGCAGCTGGACTGTAAGTTATTTTTGTAATTGTGTTAGTTTTTTTGACTGTAAGTTATGTTTAGCTGGTATGGGTTAGTTACATTTTGAATAAAGCGCAAATCCAGGTGGCAAAGACCTCAGCAAAAAGCACGTTATTTGACATATATATTTATTATATTTTAGGTATTATCTTATTATATATAACGGAAGAAACTCCTTAGTCACTATCAGGTGACCTGCTTGTTAGTTTAGCCATGCCATAAAAAATCTAATTTCAACAAATACACAAAGTAATAAAATAGTGATTATGCTTTATCTCATAGAGTCCCTTGGCTTGCTCTAAGACCGTTATAATTTATAGTAAGCGGTTGCAGTCGGCATATTTTACTCTATACAAGTTTATATGCTATGATATTCAAAAATTAGAATATAAGTATTAATAAACCGGTTAACCTTTGTTCGACTTAGAACCATAATGGAATGGAATCCACAATGGAATGCTTTTATGAATAAGCAATCCCAGATAAGGATTATATTTTCATCATGCAATAAAAAGAGCTCGAAGACATTTCACGACTTAGTCCTAACCAGTCGTCTTGTTGTGTAAAAAGATTGTGAGCTCTTGATATTCGTTGTTTGAAGAATTGATTAAAAAGCAATTCCTGCTTACATTTTTTATGTCTAGTTATTGCGTCATATATATCATAATATGTTGAAGTATATGTTTACCGTGGGAGAGCCATGCTTCTGCACTAATGGGCCGGCTCGACCGGAGTGTGAAAACCGGTGTTAAGCAATTCCTTTGGTTGCCTTTCACTGAGTGAGTGAGGTTACCGATGCCCAATTCCCCCCCTTCTGCTGACTCGAGCGGTAGGGACTCAAGGGCAGCAACGCACCTGTGTCTTTTGAGTTGCAGGTGTCCATGGGCGGCGGTAGTTGCTTACCATCAGGTGACCCGTCTGCTCGTTTGCCCCCTTATACCATAACAAAAAAAAAGTACTTAGTTAGACTGCTGCCTTTTTCATTTCAGTGTTTTATTTTTTGGAATTGTTGCTTTTACAATGCTTTGGACATCAAAATTTTTGCACGAAGTCTATTCTGCTTCAGAAAATAAGACGGATCCTTCTTACCCTTGGTATAAAATAAATGGCAATTGGTCGTCTCAGCCATCAGAATTCAAAGAATACTCGGATTGAAATCTCCAATGGTTTGTAATAATAACTAAACAGACAACTAACGAAGACACGTAACAATCATGTGTAGAGCATACTAGAAATCCTTTACTTCGTTTAAATAGTATACTTATTTTATTATAGTATTGGTACTTTATTTCTGAATTTTTGTCATTGTATTTGATTCATAGTTTCCTTGTCTCTTCTCGTCTCTCGATCACATTTTAAAAGACTTTGCGATCCTTAAATTAGAAACCTTTATCGGCAAAGATATTTTTTTAAATAGAAGTATTTATAACCAAATAATTGAATAATATTTTTTCTAACAAGTACTAGTAAAATCTTGTGAGAGTGAAAATGGCGGGTGTAGGTACCATAACAAATCTTATCTCAAATCGTAGCTACTAAAATAATAATACTCGTAAATGTACTAAATTGTACCTATCCTTAAAACGGTCTACCGTTATTAAAACGAAAATGTAAGGAAATCAAGATACTAGATTATTTCACATTCACTATGTTGATTGATTTCTGTGAAATATAACTACTGTTTCCGTGCCTACCTGCCTTATTAATAAGATTTACGTTACGTAATTTATATACGTTAATTTCTGACTGACAATGTGAGTTTTTTTGAAAATCATTAGTGCTGATAAATAATCATATTTAGCTATATGAAAAATTTATCCGCACTAATAAAGATTAAATATTTATAAATAGATAGAAATTATTTATCAAAAGTAGCTTTTAATTTACACTAAGAAAAATAATTGAATAATTAAGAAGTGAATTAATCTTTTAACTTTTACAGACTTTTGGTGGGCGCCTTGGTCTACGCTTTGTATTTATTTACCCAGCAAGTAGAAAAGAAAATGACTTCTAATACTTCTTGGCTATCAGATGATAATGTTGGTCAAATCCAGGGAAAGTTTGCTCATTTAGTCAACTGGAGCATGAATTTGAATGATACAAGTAGCTAAGCATTCTTAGTATTAGAAAAGCATTTTTAAATGTTGATAAAATATACATGAATAAAATTAAGTTGTAATAATAATAATATTTGATATGGTACTTTTTAAATGATGTTCCACATATTTAGTTTTATGATTTGTGATAAAAGGGGCTGAATTTCATGTGGATAAACAAGATATATATTTAAAAAATTAACCGCCCCTGTATTTTCACAGTACCTACTGCTAGAAGCAATTAAAAATTAGTGAAAGGTAATGTTAAACTACAAGTGTTCATTATGTAAGAATTCCTCGAACAACTAATCACGCTTGAGGTTCAAAATAGACTGTGACATTGATTGAACTATCAACGATGCTATGAATTGGTTGCCAAGAGATAGACAGTTTCTATTGGCAATGGAACTCAGTGCCGGGGGTTCGGTATATGTGGTAATAGTATAAATACATAAATATACAGTAAAATCTTGTTAATATCGATAACGATGCATTACTTTGTTGTTAAACCTTTCAAGGATTAAAGAGTTTATAAACATTTGGTGTTAGTTTTTTTATTTCGCTATATAAAATGTTCCTTATTCAATAACATCAGAGAAGTTATTTGACATCTAACTTTACCTGTCAAAATCCCAGAAAAATAACCCAGTCTAGCGATGGACTGCGGCGTGAAGTGACTCCTGCGGCTGACCGCATCGAGTGCATTTGAACGATGCGGCGCATCGCACCGTAAACGCTACGGTATACGGCTGGCCGCACTTCAGTGCGTTAACAATATGACATCATGCGTTTTTATTATGAAAAACGATGTGCGGTCAACCACAACGGCACACCGCAGTGCGGCTAATCGCAAGTGTGTTTTAAGCCTAAAATTAGAAGACACATTCGTTAGAGAACCAAGCTTCATCACATATGGACCAGGCTCGAACGGTGTAATACCACGTCCCACAGAAATAAGGTGCTAGGCTGTCCTTTCACTGCTTATCACCGAGTTACCGGAACACAAATCCCCTCGCCACCCTAAACCTTGGAAGAGGAACTTAAGGAGTGGCAATGCACTTGTAACTCTTGAGAACAGGTGTCCATGGGTGGCGGTTGCCACTCACTACAAGATTACCCGTCTACTCTTTTGCCACCTGTACTATAAAACAACAAACACATTTTTCAACACGGATATCTTAATGGTGGAAACAGACAGCAAGCAGGGCGAAGGCAACAAGAATAAATTAAAATTCATCTTCGAAAGTAGTTCTTGGTGACATATAAAAACAACATGTAATAAAAAAAAAGTAAAACGGTAATAACATTTATATTGTATATTTAAAGAGACATTACAGTAATAAAGCAATACAATGTTACATAATAATGTACACGTAGAGAATTGATAATAAGCGATCATAAATTGTTCCCTTAAGTACCAATTGAACACTAAAAAAATTATTAAACTACAATATTTGTGATTTCTGAGATTTTTATACTTTATTCAATTCTATTTTATATAATTTTATCTTTAAATAATCATGCAATCATCCAGCTATCACAATTGCATATAATATTAATTACAAAAACAAATGCTCTTAGTAAAACGTTTACTTGTATTTATTATTTATAGGTATTTATATAATCAGATCTGGCAAATCAGATGAAAAAAATTGCCAAAATGTTTAGCAAATTCCAGAAAATAAATAATAAAAACAAAGTCACACACAATAACAATAACGTTTGTGATCTTTTTTAGGAAAAGGTAATCCTGTGAATTAAAGTCACTTAAACCTTGACCTACACATTCATTTAGATTCGCTAAATATAATGATACAAGAAATCCTTTTTTTTTTACAATGTCTGTCAAAGAGCATAAACGCTCATTGAGCGAAAAAAAAAACGGCTAACAATCCGTTCTGGCAAACACAGAAAGACCTCAACACGAAATACATATTATGGTTCTTACGAAAACACTCATGATGCATTTCAGCCATGACAGAGACCAAAATGCAAAATTCATGTTTTGGTTCTATTTGGTTGGATAACATGATAGCCACGATACGAATTTTGCTGAGCTGTTTTTCGCTAAATGAGCGTTTTTGGTTTTTGAGCATAACATATTAAATAATATTAATACATGCTTCGCTTAATCTTACGTGATATGTTCATAAATTCGAAATTAAAGCATTATCTCAACGAATACTCCGTTAAGATTTACCTTGACCACAGTCAAAGTACGCATTATAGATTCTACCTGACTCTGACCTGATGTGGGTTACGCCTGTTCATTCTTGACATACTTTGAATTGTCTTTAAGAAAAAAAATCTGACACTTACAGCGATGATACGAAATGATCATACCATGAAACATTACACAAAACATTTATAGAAGCGGCTGCCTCGCAGAAATATTTATATAATGCTATCGCTGCTACTGAGTTTCCCTGGGGCACATTTGTCTGCTGCCTGCTTTAAAGTTCAATTATATTGAATACAGTAAGAATTGCACACGCTATATACGTTTAAGTACCTAGTACATAAGGTTTAGAAATAAAGGAATTATATCCATACCTAAATGCTAAGCTAAGCTTTCATGCCTAAACTACTGAACATATTTTTTCACATATAGAAAGCTATATTATCAGCGAGTGACATAGGCTACTTATTACAGCGATAACTGAAATTTGTTTTTCTAATATTCAATGGTGATAACAGTAGTACGTAGTAATTAAATCTTCGTCTGCTCGTTTACCCCTGTCTAGCTTAAAAAATAACCTTCTTCTTAACATATATATTATGTATGTATCATTATGTAATGTTTTCCGTTAAAAATCTAGAAATCAGAGATATCTCCAGGCAATCACCTTTTTAATAACATACATATTATACAGCTAGATAACACACGCTCTGAACTATATACATCTTGCAATCGGTATTTTATTTCAATAAAACTATAGTTGCATTGTGATACAATTGAAATATGAGTTTTAGAAACAAGTTTAAAAAAAAATGTTTGCACTTCTCTTGTTTAGATTATCAAAGTTTATTGTTAGGCAACAAAATGGTACAAGAGGGGTCATTTACGCCCGTAAATGGGCCGAGGTATGTCGGGATATCAGGGTTTTCCTTCCTAGGGTACACCTGGTTCCCCGGCAACTGATACACTAGACGGCGTGCGGTTTTTGGTCCGTTCGAGTCCGACATAACCACCGGTGGGTGGTTTCCGAGGGGATTGCCGCACGGAAAAAAAAGGCTACAAAATAGTGTAAATTGTTTGTTATGCTTTGCTAAATTGTGTATCATACTAAGAAATCGTTTATAATAAGTGTTTTATGATCTATGTAGAATTGTTCTATTTATGCTTTTGAAACGAATAAATTGACAAGCACAACATAACAAGCACAAGAGATGTGATACTCAAAACTATAATTATTATTAAATATAAATGAGAATCCTTTTCCAAATAAAAATGAGTAAATAAATCAGATACCGAAGTATTATTCTTATTCCAAAACGAATGAAGTGGCAAGAACGTGGCATGAAGAGCCTAGTGCAAACCTTCTCGTAAAAGCCTTTAGTCATGAAAGGCATTACATTAATAAATAATGAGGTATTACAAGTCTCCTACTTGAGAAAAGAACCTTATTAAGAAGATTATTTCGTTTCATTTTACCATGCCTTCTATGTGAATTAAACTAATTACAACTAGGTAATGTTTGTTAAGATCTAAAATTTTCGGGTAATTGCTGAATGGTATCAAAACACCTTGTCTACATATCTCACTAAATAAAACGGTCTTTGCTAAGTTGAAAACTAATATAATTTATCTTAATTGTTCGTTTTTTTATAAAAAATCTACGAGGGTACCTATTCTATCATACCCTCCGGCTAATTTTTATTGGTATTAATTAATTTATTATTTTTCTTATAGTATTATTGTATCTGGCTTTTTTTAAATAGAAAACAATACTGGACATTCTATTTAGCCACTTTAATTCTTCTTCATGGAGTTTTTCTTTTTACTCTTCGGGTACAATCCGTCCATTCCTTTACCGAATGGTGTTTGTCCGTTTGTTGTTAAGTAATACGATCCTTTAGCACTGTAATACAAACAATAAATAAACATTAAATAACTCTTAAATTTACACATTAATCAATAACAACATAATCCCTTAGACAAGAGTGATGTTCGAGCGGCTGAATAGGTATCCCTAATTTGAAGCTAAGAATTCTTAAGCACGAATTTTAAAACAAAAAAAAAACAAATCAAAATCGGTCCTCCGTTTTTGGAGCTTTGATCCCACAGATACGCAACAAAAACTCAAAATGAGCTTCGTTGGGCTTGGGGGATTAAGCAATTTTTTTAGGGATATAGGGAATTTAGAAGAATAGGTGAACAGATTACAGATATAAATTTCATTGTAAAGTATTTTTTGTAAAAAAATAGCGTTTGGCTTCAGTATTATTAATTTTGACGCTGTTTTTACCATATATCTTTTCAGCCATAGAGCATGACTTAAAGAAGATAGAAAGACCTACACAGTGCCTACTAAACCTGTACCGCACAAATAAAGTCAGCTAGGCTTCTGACAACTATACTTGCATTTCATAGATGGTATATCTATAAAAGGATTATTTGATGCAATATTGATGATTATTATTTACTTTAACTTGTCTTATGGATGATTTACAATAACCAAAATATTTCATCCATCACCATCAGCAACAGCCTTTGAGTGACCACTGCTGCTGCATAGGCGACTGATGATTGTAAGATACAAAGGAAGCTTTGGCGTACTATAAGACGCAGGCCAGATGGGTTGGTATACGATTTGTTTCAAGTTTTCCTTCTCTTTTAATTTACAAAATATTTAAAAAAAGTAGTATTCCTATAGCTTACCTACTATCACATTTAAACCCCATATAAGCCATTCCTGATTCAGGATTTGGGTTTTCTCTAAATTTGTTATAAGACTCCGCAGGTGATGCTGGGAACGCCTCAGGATTCAGTACTGATTCCGCATAAAACTGCCACGATCTCCAATGGCTGCATAAATCTAAAAAGAGTAATTTCATTTTAATTATAATTAATTACTAATAACTGATTTCGTGCAACATGCGATTTATATTTTTAAAAACCTACCTGGATTTTAAAATAGCACAAATGTTAAAATATTTTACTTTCACTGGCAGACATTAATTGTATTGTATTTATTCATACTATTTAGATAACTTACGGAGCTATTCAATAAAACATAGTTGTTGAGGTTTGACAGTCCTCTTGGTCTAGTGAATAGTGACCCTGTCAGAGCCAGAGGTTATGGGTTCGATTCACACCCAGGACAAGTCAGTGTGTTAAGCTCGATAATTTATTAAGAGTTCGGGTGTCTGTGAATTTATCTATAATATGTATGTTTTCAAAAATATTTTAGTATTTTTACAAGAAGTCTGGATGCCATACAGCCTCTGTCTAGTTTAGCATTAGATTGACGTATGTGAGATGTGAAAATTATTATTATTGTTTCTATTGTTTATGACAATAACATGAACTCAAAAAATGTTTTTAATTTTACATTGATAATAATCATTCTAACATTTACCGTTAGCCATGCATTTCTTAGTTGTATAAAGGCTTTTAGGTTCCATTGCCTATATTTTGAGCTAAAGCCATATTTGCCATGCAAATTTCAGATAAAAGATTTTTTAAGACCAAGGATTCAATTGGAGAACAATTGCTTCTTGCTGACATTTATCTATTCACTTCTAAGGTTACTTTGCTGATATTATTGTATTTAAATACGTCGTGTTAATATTGCCATTTGTATAATTATATTTTAGCAATTTCTATCCAAAATGCATAATTTAGCTTGGCTTTAAGCGTATATTAGTTGCAAATGAGTACCGGTGGAAGCAAAATGTGTTACCTTTTCGGCAAAGCTTTCTACTTACCCTTCACTGTGTGTGCAATTCAGATTTGGTGATATTTTTTTGTTATAACATATTCAGCCCCTCATATGATATCTGACGTTAAATAGTTCAGTTCGACACTCACGGGAACACTTACTGTCATCCGACAACGGTATAGGCGCAAACCTCGGGCACCCGGGCTGAATACTTTTACCACCATTTGGCCAGAAGTCGGCTGTCCCAGTACGCACAGGTGCTCCGTAGCCGCCAGCATCAGTATGTATAACATCCACAAACTCTGCATCCTTCGCATTGACATGTTCCATGACCACGCCGTCAGGGTAGAATGCTGGAAATGCAGGATCTAGTGCTGTTAACCTGAAATAATTTTACATTTTGACATTAATGCGTAGAAAAGAATTTGAAAAAAGCTGAATAGTAAAGCTAGTTTACATGTTTCTAAATTCTCTTGCCTTATTTCCCATGCTCGTGTTAGTATAGTCAATAATGACTTTGGTAAAACTACTAGTCTACAACGCTACATATTTACACCAAACAAAATTTTATTTTTATCACTTACATTGAAGAAGAACTAGATCTAAGACGGTCTGTTTACTACTTCTCTTAGATATAGATACTTACCTTTTAACTACTTTATTGTATTTGTTCTTAAGCTCTCTTGCTGCGTATCCGGCTACATGACTACCTAAAGAATGACCTATGACGTGAAACTTTTCTAGTAGTAGACCGGAATCCATAAGTCGGTTCAATTGTTCTGCAGCCGCGCTTCCCACCTGGAAATCAAATTTAATTTTCTTAAACTTTTCGTTTGTAATTATTTATTAAGTGTTAAAAACTCTTTAGTTGGTCTAGTAGTTACCGATCCTGCCTGCTAAGCCAGATTACGTGGATTGGTTTCCTTCTCATGTTAAATACTGTGTGATGAACGCTATCATTTAGTCTGTGTCAGGGTGTACTTTATCTTTAATTAAAAAAAAAAACAGACAATTCCCGCATTAGGATTATATCCTGTGTCGTGGGGGACTTTACAAATTGTTGTACTATTCTGGATGTTCTATGTGTCCGCTTCATGTATGTATGAAGCGGACACATAGAACATCCAGACTCAGTACAACATTTATATGTGTTAGTAGTATGTATATTTTAAGCGTACTTTGTATGTTTATTTTCATATAGGTAAATTAATTATCTAAAGTATAATAAAGTACACCATAGACTACCCTAAATCAGATTGACCAATATTCGTGTAAAGGTTGTCTGTAAGAGTGAGCGATAAGACCGCCTATGTAGACCGACCGACCAAAATGTAGATGTCCATCCCTGTCTGTACAATATATACTGTAGCAGTGTACAATGATGATGTATAAATAAATCTTTCTCTAAAACCCTTTGTCTCAGGGCACAGCAAAGTTTAAACACTCAATAATAGCAACGTATATAAACTTTATTACAAAAAATATAAGAGTATGTAAACAAATACACAAAAGTCAATATCACTATTCTAAAGATATTACTAACTGAGGCGTGAAACGACAGATAAAGTTATTCCTAAGATTTAAGCTTTATTCTTCAGATACTATTATCTGAAGAATAAAGCAACTTAAGAATAAACAGGTTTTTCCATGGTCAGATAGCTATCTATCTGACAATTGAAAAATCCAAAATTACGCTAACTGTGGAATAAGTGCTATCGAACTGTTTATCTGAGGACTGAAAAACCGGCCCTAAATATTTTGTAATCTCATTTACGAGTATTACTTTCTTTGGATCATATCTCTGTAACCAAAATCAAACACCTAACAAATATCTAAAAATAATACAACAAGGTCAATACATGAATAAATTATGGAAAGAGTTTTCTTCTAATTCCTAAAGGTCAAGGACCCTCCCATCATCAGCTCAGCAACATGATATAACGACTACCAAACGCAAATACCTGCATAGCTAGAGAAAAATCTAAAACACGTTGTCGGGGCTGTAATATTTGAGGATTTCCCTCGATTTCTTTGGGATGCCATTGTGAGATCCTAATTTGGTGGTTATGGGACCACCTTGGGTGTATAACCTTTTGATTACAAAAATAATTTTTAAAATCGGATCACAATTGACGGTGATATTGCGTCACAAATAAAGAAAGAAAAATTCAGACGAACCGACCGACTTCAAAAACACAAAAGAGGAAGTTTGAGAACTTCCTCTTTTGTGTTTTTGAAGTCGGTCAAAAAAATTGAATTATTTAAAAAAACCTTTTGAAGAATTTTGTATTTCGTTATATAAAAATCAGCCTAGTGTAAAATTTAATAAAGTGACTTGATTAAAATTAGCAAACAAAATAATATTGTAATATTGCACAAACTAAAAGCAAACATAACAATTTTATACATAGAAAACATTATATGAAGGCTAACTATTAAAAAGGTGTTGACTCCATGACGTTCTTTTGACGTTCAAACGAGTTTTGAATTATTCATTTATTTTATTGCAAGTTGAATCTATGATAGTTTAACTTTTTACTGCGTAGGAATTTCAAATAGTTGCGTATTATAATTTATTTAATTTATTTATTTAATATAATTTGTTAAGTCTGATCACAGTCACGATTTACGACTATATAAACAGAAAATTACATAAGTGCATAAGTTCTTCTAAAAGTACTGCAAATGCAGGACTACTAGATTCCTGGCAGCCATTATTTAGAAATAACAGTATACACACTCTTACAGGCTTATATATCTTGGTAATTTGAAAAAAATCTTAAGTGAAGTCCCTATGACTGAATTGTCTCTTGCACTATTAAATATATATTAAATGTATAAAAGAGACGCCATTAAATTATACTATTTAATATATAAAAGAGATCCCACTAGATTATTAATGCCTGCATGTAGGAGCTCTTTTTTTTCATTGTAACTGTTATATAATGTGTTTAAAAGTGTTTAATCAAGTGCCAAGTCAATTCGCGAATTGCCGCAGTCTAACCTACAGGCTGAATTGAAAAAAATGGCTGATACAACAAACTTTTTATAGCATGAACGATTTTTTCAATCTAAAAGTCCAAAATCTAAAGTAAATTAAATTATAATTTCATTGAATTCTAAGTGGACCATTTGACATTAATTATCCTATTCTATTTTTAATTCCATGTGTTTAATGTATGCGTATATATAACAATGATTAGTGTAATTTAGTAAAGCGTCTTAATTTTTAAATTTAAATGTAATTTTTATGTAATTTGATTTTATGTAATTTAAATTCGCATGTCAATATTGGCAAAAAGTGTGATTCAGTACTCCATATAACTTCCATAAACGTACCACATTTTTTTGCAAATAAATTATTCTTATTCTGACTGTATGTGTTCCTTACGTATGCTGTATTGCTACTTTAGGTATACTTGTTCATATACTTGTTCATAGTTGTGTTATTTTGTGTTTAGAGTTTTGTTAAGTTTTTTTTTCTAGATAAACCAGCTTTGAATGCACGGATTATTTAATGAGTATTGACTAATATGACTAATGCTCCGAAACTTTTTATATAGAGCTTGATATTAAAAAAATCGTAACAGTAGCTCACTGAGAATAAAAATGTTTTATAAAGGTTATATACCTAATATGTATTGGGTTAAGTTCAAAGACATATATTATTATTTTTAATGCTTATTTTGTTATATTATACATACGCTAATATATTTTTACCTTTTTGGTATTTCTAGCAGCATTGACTAAATAAGAACCATGAGCCATATTAGACCAGTCCAATAATATGACGTTTGTACCAGGCCTTGCTTGTAAGTACGCGTTCACCGTGACCTGGAAATGAAATCAACATAATATTAAGATTAATTATGATAGGGTACTTTTAAATGTAAAAAGATGTAATAAAAAAACCCATGGGCAAGCCGTTCAAGGCTTTGGTTCTCAAGGGTTCAAGGACAAGTTTATACATAAAACAAATTGTGGTTTTAATATTCCTATATAAATAAAAATCGATGTTTATATGTTTGTCTTCTATGCGTTCCGAAATCATTGATCAAATTGTAATAAAACTTTGGTAGGGTGTTCTAAGCTTGCGAGGGTTCCCAGCCTAAAATATAGTTTCCGGACCCTAGAATTATTTTAGATTATTTTGAGCACAGTTAGTTTAATTAACAATAACACAGTGAGAAAGGTACATTTATTGCTACTTTTATGTACAGTTACTCTTGCCATCACAGGTAACAATTCACATCACATCACATCAACAGCCTTTAACAGTCCACTGCTGGACATAAGCCTCTCCTTAGAAAGGAGGTTTTGGCCTACTACACCACGCCAGGTAACAATTCGATTAAGAGTTCAGTAGTGCTATGCATGGTTCGAAGCGTAAGTCTTGCTGATGGTCGCTTAGTTCGTGTGGTTTCCACTTATCTAGATTTTTATTTTTCCGATTTGACAAAAATGCTTCAATGTTGTTTTGACACTAACTCCAAAGCCCACAGCAATCTTATCCGTAGATTGAGTTGGATCGTCGTCGTGTATTCGTCGTTGTCGACTACGGTTACTGGCACATCGCGAGCCCCGATCTTCAACTCAACATTTTCAGATCTAAAAGTTTGAACCAATAATGGACCGTGTTTATGCAAGCAGTATTACGCCCGTACACGTCATTAACGTTTCGTGTTGTTTGCGCATAGGTATTTCCAAGTAAGAACTCATATTCGAAAATTTTACGAATTTTAGTTTTTCCGTGGCAACAAAAATTACCACTATTTCACAGAATCCACAGATAATTAAATTCATAGGTAAGGACAGGATTGGTGAAATTCAAATAAATTTTATTCCAAAACAATGTTGTTTTAATTTAAAATTCAACCATTTGTTTTAGATAGTGTTTTGTTTCTGTGAAATAGTAATAGTTTTTGTTGCCACGGAAAAACTAAAATTCGTAAAATGAATACCTGTAGGTGTAGGTCCCTATTTTCTTTCTTTTATTTTTTGATTATTTTGATTTCTTATTTTTTTATATTACTTGCATAAAATATTTAAAGACAGAGAATGGGGTGTGTGTAAGTACAGATGCAAATGGCAGACTTGTCTGAACTTAAAATAATCACTAGAAACCTGAAAATTAACGCTGGCAAATATTATAACATTTAATATTTTTATTATTTTCTTGCCATACAAAATAATGTCATTAAATTGGACTCTGATAACTTCACTCACTCGGTGAAAAGTATCGAAAGAATTGTTTAACACCGGTTTTCTAAGAGGCCGTTATATCACTCCCATTGAACCACGGTCTGTTGCGACGGTATACTAAATCTATGGTTTCCATAATTATAATCTCATTGTTTTGTCTAATTTAAAGTTTTGAATCTAACACAATTAAAAATTATACCTACATAGTATGTAAATACTCACAAAAAATGTAACTACATGAACGTTGTGTTTATATGCGTAACAAAACGAGTTTATAATTTATTTACCGTTAAGAATATCCGTTCAAATGAATATTAATACAATGTTACAACTTAAAGAAGTTGGGCGGTTGGATATTTTGCAAGACAGTGAATACTGTTGTTATGAATCACCATAAATGTGTGTTGCACAGAACCGTGTTGGGTAATCATATTAACAACATGAGTTCAAGTTCACCTATTTTTATACCAAGAAGTTGGAAAACAAGGTAAAGTAGAGTGGTTTTAATAATGTTAGATATATATATATATATATAAAATATACCATATAACTAACCATGTCATCAATTAAGCTTAAGGATAAGAACAATTACCGTCGTGTACGAGGACCGAGATGGTAATCTGAAGTATCGGTCCATGTAGTGCGGTGTTCCGCAGGGGTCTGTTCTTGGACCCCTCCTATGGAATATAGGGTTCCGACTGAGTTCCGGCAAGTACGCGAGTGGCGCGAGGCCGTTGGTCGTCCCGGCTGGGAGCTCCTAGTGCTGGTTTTGCCCCGTGGAGGCGCTCCAGCCGATCATCGTCGAATGGGCAGGGCGGCAGCACGGGACCCTTTCTTTCCGATTGACGCAGATCCTTTGATGGATGGATGCTTTGAGAAGTACCTGCACTCGGTCTTGGAATTGAGTCCCGCCTGTCACCACTGCGATTGCAGTGAGGACTCGGCTTAGCAAACGCTGGCAATTTGCCCGGCTTGGGCGTCGCAGCGTCGGGTCCTCACTGCAGTCATCATACGCTACATGGCCTTCTTCTGCGAAGATGTCATGCCATAACGGCCCGCCATAACGGCCAGCCGCGAGGGCGTGACGTCCGCGTGTACCGGACGTCACCTAAATAGAGAATAACAGGAGTTCCCGGATCCCCCCTATTACAGGCGCAGAGTGGCACACCGTGTGGTTTTAGTCAGTCCGATTCCGACACACCACCCCGCATTACCATAATTGTTATGGTAATGTTATGGTAATAACAATTATGGTAATCGTACTCAAGAGCCCAATCTCCATTAAGATATTTCTGAACTCAATAGGATGTTACAATTAGTTTTTGACTAAAAAAAGTATGTAACATGTGAAAGTGCATCCTAAAACTTTTGTCCTGTAAGGTTCCCTACAAATGTATAGTGTATGTTCTTGTCAATGTCCTGTAATGAAATGACCTGTCTGTTTCAGAATAAATTCCTAATAGTCATTATGAAATATGCATTTGCAGTTTATAGCTTCCTACTATTCATAATTCATAATTAATAATTTATAGATCAGAATTTTGTGTGCTATTACTATCAAAAGTACTACTATCATATCCAACCAAAAGTTTCCGGAAATCGGTACTTTGACAAAAAAAATTGCTGGAATTACAATTCTGAATGATAATGATTCTCGTGCTTCTATACAAGCTTTTTTTTATAAATCAATCAATCAATCAGTTTTTTATTGTGAAACATAGGTACACAAAGGTTGTTTTCAGTGGTAGAATGACCTACTATGTTCTGCCATTTAGGCTTACAATAATAAAAAATATATTTTGTGAATCGCTAAATTTAAGACATGCAAATAGAATTACATTGAATTATCGCAATTAAAGCAATATAATATTTCAGTTTGATTTTTCATACCTTAGAGCTTAAAACATGCAAAATCAATAAGTCTCTTTATAAATTATGTAAAAAAATTTAGAACTAAGATGTCAATAAAGTAATTACAATGTCAAATAAAAAATAAAGATAATAAATAAAAATAGAATTCCCTGATCAAAATATTAAAATTATGGAATGAGTATGTATTTGTATATTCATTTCTGTTAATTAATTTATTATTCTCATTCACCATCTAAAAATTCTCTTATATCATAATAACATTTTTCAGATATGCATTCTTGTAAATGTTTTTTAAATGGGATTATGTCTAGATTTCTGATGTGATCGGGTATCTTATTATAAATGACAGGTGCCATACAGGATACACTTTTGCGCATTAATTTTGTATTTGCTTTTCTTATTCGCATCCTATTACTGGTGTGGGTTCTTCTATTGCAAGTAACCGTATCAGCTAATGCTTCGAACAGTTCCAGGTTCGACTTTACGAAAACTGCTGTTTCAAAAATGTATAAAGACGGCAATGTCATAATTTTATACTTTTTAAAATATGGTACACAACTATCTGTAGATTTTAATTTGAACATTGCTCTAATGCATTGCTTTTGAGATTTGAAAATAATTTCTTTATTTGTCGAGTTTCCCCAGAATAGTATGCCTTTGTCTAAGATAGGAGGCGGTTATTCCATGATATGCTTTAAGTATACCTTCCTCATTGAGCAGATGTGCAAGCTTAAAAAGTGCATAGGCTGTACTGCTGATTTTTTTTCATAACTCTTCAGTATGTATTTTCCAATTAAGCCTATTATCAATATTCAGTCCTAGGAATTTTGTAGCGTTAATTTCATTTATTTTAATATTATTATATGTTATATTCATATCTTTAATTATATTATGTCTTTGTGAAAATTGTATTAAATTTGTTTTGCCTAAATTAATTTTTAAATTATTTTTATCCATCCATTTTATAATGTTATAGAGCGTATTATTAATGTCCGTTTCATAGTAAGCGCGATTGTTACATTCTATAACTACCGTACTGTCATCCGCAAATAAAAGGACAGGATGGTTAGTTACTTTGGGTAGATCATTAAAGTATAGAATGAACAGTAAAGGCCCGAGTACACTGCCTTGCCCCACTCCGTAATAAATTGTTCGTAAGTGAGACGTGTATACTTCTTCTCTTTTGTTTAAAAAGTTAATTTTTCTGAGCTCTGTGTATTGTTTTCTGTTCGTCAGGTAAGATTTTATTAGGTTATTGACATTACCACGTACTCCACATCTATCAAGCTTTTCCAGTAGGGTTTTATGATCTACGTAATCAAAGGCTTGCGTCATGTCTCAAAATATGGCGCTTACTGGTATTCTCTTATCTACTTTAGATATAATTATATTTAAGAATTCGTAGATAGCCTTGTTTATGTTCTTTTTATGTCTAAACCCCTTTTGTTCTACTGCGAAGAGATTGTATTTTTCAAGAAAGGAATAGAGTTGCTTAGAAATATATTTCTCGAACACTTTTGAAAATATGGGAATTGATTGGTCTATAGCACTCCATATGTTCTTTGTTTCCTCTTTTGAACAGGGGTTTAACCACCGACGTTTTTAGTTTCTCTGGGTATATTCCAGAACCTATTCTTACATTAATAATATGGTTAATAGGCTTCGAAATGATTGGGCTAACTGATTTTATTATTTTAGTGTAGATACCATCATACCCAACACTATTTGTGTTTTTAAGATTCTTTATTATTGTGTCGACG